CATTCTCCCGCATAAGTTGATCTGGAGGAAAAGCCCGAGATATGAATATAGCACGACTTTGGAGTGCATTCTCGTCACACTGTGTTGGTTGCGTTCAAACTTTGCCGATGCATTTCCCTGGACATCGGATTTTGTTGAAAGGGAATATGCGAATAATCGACTCCGCTTAAACAACAGTAGCTACTTTTCACTCGCACTGTGTAACGCAGAACTACTAAAAATGCTATGATCCCCCAAAATATGCAAATGGAAAATATTCATCAATGTCGTACCCGTCGGCTGGAACCTCTCCCGCCTCCATATTCGCTCGGGTCAACTGTTCGGTAAGATCCAGTGCGTTTACTATAATACTTCCTCTCCGATTGTGGCGGCGTTGACAATTCCTCAAACACCTCCACAACGTCCTCTGACCGCGAAGATGTACTCTCGGTCATGACCTCTATCACCTCCGGTCGTCGTCGATGTGATGCCGAGCGGCGGGGCAGTCTGCTGTCGTCCGTCACTGTAGTCATGTCATCGACAATAGTAGTGCTGCGGCCAAAAATGAGAAATAGGACCCAGACAAGAAGGACGAAGCCGCCTACTGTGCCAACGACTATACCAACGACTGTGCCCGGGGAGGAGGTGAAGGAGGAGTAAGTCGACGGGATCGAAATCATGCGGTCGCGACGCTGGAGGTGTGAGGAAGAATGGGAAATTGACCGCGTTATGTTTCTGGCTTTGGTGATGAGAGATCTACTGAGGGAGGAAGCTGAGAAAGCATTGCGTTGGGATGATAGGGGATTTCGTTTTTGCTGGTTGGAGGGGAGGGCTAGCTCTGCGATGTTTCGGGCGAAGTTTTGGAGGCTGCTTGAGGTAGCTCTGAATAACGGCAAGGGTGCCATATTTTGACTAAATGATATCGACCATGAAAGACAAAAGTGCGATTATATAGTCAACGGTTCGTTTCGTATGTAGTAGCAGTTTCTCAGACTCGTTTTTGTGGAAAGAGAGTCGGTGAGGCGAGACTGAAGGCAGAATCAAACTGCGAATATACTAGCAGATAAGATAATCGCCGTGTTAGAGGCAATTGAAGTAATTAACTAAGCAGTTGTAGATATGTAAATGGAATGAGGACTAATAGATAGTCACAGAGCAGAAATGAAGGGAGAGCGAAAGACCAAAGTACAGATTAGCAAAGCAGGAGATGAATCCGAGTGACAATGAGATAGAAGATGCAGGCTCCAGGCAGGTTGGGAATATTTCCTGATTGGGCCCCAGCCTCATGTTTATTGGTTATTGGCGATGGCGGGGGACGACATCGCAGGCTTGGCGCATCGGCGTGGCTGATTGGAAGCGGCTGAGGCTGCCAAGGCGTTGCCCTACATTAGGGCGATCTGAAGATAGTCAAACCATCGGCACTGGAAATTGGATAATCACATGAGGTACAGTAGTTAGAGTATTATGTCCACGGGTATGGGGGAATAGTGGAGAACCTCATGATTGCGAACCGAGGATTCCCAAGTTTAGACGGAATGAACAGAGGAATTTGTCTTAACTTGACCCTGAGAGGCCGCTGGGCCTCCCTGGAGATTCTCAGAGGTTGGCTATCCCAAGAACTGAGAAAAACGTACAGATGTAGTCACTGTGCATAAATATTTGTACACGAACATCTAACCCCAACTGAACTCACACCCTTAACTTCTTGGTGAAATAGGGTTGATTCACATGGGAATTCTTTTTTAGGGACCTGGTAGCGTACATGACAATAATCTATCGACTGCCATGACAGATGCAGATCATCTGGATACCACCATGAATTGAAGAGTTGCGGCCACCTTCGTTAGGAGATCTTGTTTGATCTTTAAAATCCAGAGTTATCATGCTCAGTACCTCTCATGTCTTCAGTTCAGCGTTCACTTGTGCATCTGTTGGATAAACTCCCTTTGAAATATAGGGTGTGTACATAGATCTCACTTTTTGGGTTACCAGCCAAGAAGCAACAGGAACGAACCACCCCAAAGGACACAGATGACATGCTAGAGAACCCCTGGATTTACCCAGGGGTAATTGAGTGAGTCTCTTCACACTTCTAAACAAAGGTGCAGGTGGGCATCGTGCTATTATTTTAGCCTCCTTTGGTTAGATCCGCAGTTAACCCCACAGATTACCTGGGGAGAGAATAACGGAGGTTTTGAAAAGATCAGTATCGTACATTGTATTATCCGGAATGTATATCGTTTAATGTGTGGCAAAAAGGAAAGGAGGAGACGCTTTCCACTTGAGGTCGAAAACGCAATTTAAACCTTCGATTCCTAGCCATGGTCACCTAAAAGAAACGGGACAGGTTAGCATTTTAAGCAAAAGAGTCGATTTGACCGATGTTTGATGTTATGTCGGCAATAGATTAGCTCAATTTGCCATTCCGGATCTATCTGAGCAGAGTGGGAAGAAGGGAATAGGGCTGTTCATGTCGAAATGAATCTTCATATGGTCACAGGCAGGTATAAATAGCCATGGTTGAGAGATAGGGAATGAATGTGTAAAGATAAAGAGTTTTTGAACACAAATGATGTATATATATCTACACTGTCATTGTCACATCGTCAACTTTTTGTTTTCCTCTACTGGTAGAGGAGCTTCTGTATCATCCTCTTGGGTTGGCACATCAGCGGAGTTCTCATATTGCCCATTTGCAACTGCATCCGACGCATCGGATACTTGATCGGGGTTTGCAGCAGCCGCCTCTTTGCGTTTGTTTGTCGTATTCACCAAAGGTGTCTCATCATCGTATAATCGCAGTAACATCGCGCGCCGTTCCTCTTTAGGTAGCATCAAGTTCAGCGAGTACATACTTCTCCATAGCGGGAGAACCATACGTTCCCTAAGTGAGAGTTAGTGAAACTTTCACACATGTCATGGATTGCAGATTGGAATCATACCGGAAGCCATCTTCATTGTCTGTGGGCTCGATTCTTAGAACACAGCATCCCATGTCAATATCCCTCGCCCATTCACCGATTTCTCCTAATTGCTTCCACCCATTATCGTTTACTTTGGGAAACATTTCAATAAGGAGCTTTCGCAACGTCTCCTTCTGATATATTTTAACAACACGGCGCGGTCCAACCCAGGATTCAAGAATCGCAAGTCCATCAGTTTGGATACGCCATGGGCAGACATCTTGTCGTTGCACATCTTGCTTAACAAACATTTTGACGCCGGCATGTACAAACTTTATTCCAGCCCCTTCGTTAGCAGTAAGGATATCACGAGCTAGGGTGCTCGTATAATAGATCGTCTTAGCTGGGCGACCCTGGAAATTCCGAACCATGAAACGATCTCTCGGGAATTGTGGTGATATGTCATAAAAGCTGAATATCTGATCAAACTCTTCGCTCTTGGGATCTAGATACTTGAATGGCTCTTCCACTGGTTGGCCAGGTCGGCGTTTTGCGGAGAAAGCGGGTGCTGTCGATACAGTAGGTTTCTGTTCAGCATATACATGCGGTTGTGAGACTGGTGCCTCTTGCTTGGTTTGTAGCTCAGGGACTTCTTCAACAGAAGGAGATAAAGAAACCTTAAGGTGACTCTCTTCCACCTTTTGTCGTTTGTTTGCAAGATTTTCACTTGACACTTCAAATGCCCGTTTAGCCAAGCTCTGAGTAACAGGGACTGGGACCGGCACGACATGTGATTCTACAGGAGTTGCCTCATCCGATACACCAGTCAGCTCAACGGAAGCATTGGTACCATCTCGGTCGGCTAGATTTTCCGTCGTAGGTTCAGGTGCGGAAGTTGATGTGGGTTTTTTAGCACCCTCTGGTCTTGCTTTAATGTCGCTTTTCTTTTCTAGAACGGCGATGAAGAATGCACCAGTATCTTGCTGATGGGGATACACGCGCATGCATCGGGATAAATCGATGCCTTCCTCTTCTGCAGGAGGAAACATGCCCTCCACTATTCTGTTGAGGGTAACATCACCTTCCGAAACCGCTTCTTCGACGTCCTTCCAGTTGGCCCATATCCTCCCTTCTTTGTCCATAACGGTCCAGGTCGTCAGACCTGGCGACCTTTTCATGGCAGACAACTCGTTACTGCAATCCATGATGTGGACTTTGCTTGGGCCGCCACACCGGTCAATGACACTCGCAATCACCGCTTCGTTTTCAACAGGGTTCATGCTGCAAGTTGAATATACCACCCTTCCTCCCACTTTTAGCATTTGCAAAGCTCGAGTTAGAATCCTGTACTGGGTTAGGTGCAAGCCAAGGGCATTGGCAGGGTTCCAATCCTTCCATACATTCACGTTTTTGCGAGTAGTCCCATCACCCGAGCAAGGCACATCTGCTAAGATACGGTCAAACTTGAGGTATCTGTTCCTTATGGGTTTACCTTCTGGGGAGGGCAGCGATGGCAGCTTAATTGAAGGATACATCGTAGCATCATGGTTTGTAATAATTAAATTTGGAGAATTGAGTCGTTTCATCTGATGAATTAGTAAATGGGCGCGTTTGTAATCGTTATCGTTTGCAATAAGCAAGCCTGTCGATCTTCCATCGTCATCCATACCGTCTGATTCCATTTCGCCATGAAGCAACTTAGGCACATTTACGGTTCCCTTTCTTCTTTCAGCATCCGCAGCAGTTTCAAGACGCTTGGCAATCTCTGCCATCCTCTCTTCTTCTCCCGCGTGTACCAACTCCATCAATTGTGCAGACTTGCTACCAGCGCAGCACACATGTCTAACACTGTCATTCCCGGGCGGACGTCAAGTACCAGCGGAGGATCATGCTCACTACCTCTTGACGGCTGATGTTTCCAACTGCTGTTTCCGCAC